GATGAAGGAGAGGCAGTCTGGTCGTCCCTCTCGTCGGTCTCCGGAGGTTGGGACATCTCCGTTTGCTTGCCTCCGTTCGCGGCAGGGGCGAGGATGAAGTCGTGGACGGCATCGTCGTGGTGTGGGCTAGCCATGATCGCGGAATGTTGGTGAAAACTTTGGTTCTCTGCTCAGAGGAACGGGGAAGTTTTAGTTTCCCACAGACGGCGCCACTGATCTGACCTGATCAGAAAGGGATCGCTGGCTGCCACGTGTCTTCGACTTGCTGCATGTTCACCGGTATTAAAGAAGAGGAAGGGGTGTACCTGCAAGACACTCCGATGCTAAAGTAAGCGTATGGGCAGAGTGATCACAAGTACAGAAAAGGGGTAAGAAGAGAATTATCTGATCCTCTTGCGAAAGAGGGTATTTATAGAGAGACCCCAGCGCTGGGCCAACGGTCACTTGTGTTGGGCTGGATTGCCAGACCCAACCCAGGTGACTGCTAGGGCTTACATGGCGTAGTGAAGACCAGGACGTGGTCTTCGCCCTAGTCCAACTGTCTCGTGATCTCCGGAAATTGGGTTTGACCTGCTCTTTCGGAGGTGGGCAGTTGGTCAGTGACATGTCCCCGCGGATGGGGCACGTGGAGAACGTGTGAAGGACACGTTGTCCTGCCCGACAGGTGGGCAGGTTCTGCCCGCGGAAAGGGTAGTGTCTGGTCGACGGGGGAGTCCTGTCCTCGACACAGATGAGGAAGGTTCTGCCCGCGGGGGGGGACATTACCTGTCCGCCAGGGACCTTGTGCTCGAAGGCTGCGGGCCAAGCTGGACTGGACTTGGTAGAATATTATTGGGTTGAGCCTGTCTGGCCAAGTCGGGGCCCAGGCCAGAACAAGTACCATGATTATGCACAAATACAAGTTACCAAAATGATTTTTATGCATAAAAATGAAGTTATCATGATAATTCTGAGTACTATGGTAAAACACATGATCAAAATGCAACTTGTACCTTAATGAAGTGGCCATTCTCCTAAGTTCCAAGAATATCTTGACAATGTTGCTTGAGATACAAGTATTGATACCATAGATTGAGTCATGGAGATTTTTCTTATCCTTTGATAATGAACATGAACTTGAGAAAGTATATTTGTCTTTATCAAAACACAATGTTGGAAAAGCTTGACTTCACATTAAGCTAGACTCTTATGATGATGGTGAGGATGTAGTGCTACAACTTTCAAACACTTGGTTAGTTGTCTGAGATATTTGTGTAACACCGAGTGTGACATATATTATGCAGATGGAACGGTGAGTAGGTTTATGAGTAAACCAAAGTGATCATATTACCGAGCTACAGTTAGGATTCTGAGGTATGTAAAAGAAACTCTGAGGCATGGAATTTTATTTCCATATTGAGTATCAAATGATATTGAGTCAGTATGCTACTCAGACTCTGACTGGTGTGGACACAAAGTGGACAAAAGAAGTACTACATGATACATGTTTATGCATATGGGGGTTCATATTTCGTTGTGTTCCAAGAAGAAACCAATGATTGCATTGTCAACCTGTGAAGCTAAATATATAGTTGCTGCTTTGTCATCTTTTCAAGTTGTTTAGATGATGAATTTGTTGTAGGAACTGAAGTTCAAGGTGAGCAAACCAGTCAAGTTGATGATTGACAACAAATGTGCCATAAGTTTTGCTAAGAATCCATTTTTGCATAGAAGAAGCAAACACATTGATACCAAGTATCCTTTTGTGAGCAATCAGGTTCATAATGAAGTGCTTAAGGTTGTTCATGTCAGCACTCAGAAGTAACTTGCAAATGTGCTCACCACGGGTTAAAATTGAACCCTTCATCAATTTGAGAGATAGAATTGGCGTTATGGATTTTTCAAACTTGAATATGAATTAAGGGATGGTCTTGAAATGTAATTCATTTCAAGTTGTGAGTTTGTGTTTGAATTTGATTTCAGTTGCATTTAGATTGGGTTAGTCTGTAAATCAATAGCTACTTACAGATTGTAACAGTTCTTTCATTTTGAGAAAGTTAGTTAGAAAATCTCTCTCTCTCTCTCTCTCTCTCTCTCTCTCTCTCTCTCTCTCTCTCTCTCTATATATATATATATATATATATATATATATATATATATATATATATATATATATATATATATATATATATATATATATATATATATATATATATATATATATATATATATATATATATATATATATATATATATATATATATATATATATATATATATATATATATATATATATATATATATATATATATATATATATATATATATATATATATATATATCATTCTTCATCTTCATCTTCTTATGCATTGTTAATAGAGGTTCATTGTTGAACTCCAACAAGAACTAATCATTTGAGTTGAAGTTATTATAAGTCTACCTGTATTATCTAATGTTAGATTAAAATCAAAAATTATTTAATGGATGATAATTGGGTTATCTCAATTAGAATGTCTTTTAATAGTACAAAACAAATCTTTACTAGTTAATTATTGGATAACTTTTTATCTCTAGGTGAAATATGTATCTTTGGCACGAAGCGGACAAGCATGAACGCAAACCTATAAAAACAAATGTTTTTATTGAACAAAATTATAAGATGAGCTATGAAGAAGAAACTACAAAATTTGACAAGGAAAATATCATATACTAGTGGAAAGGATGATTTACTTGGCATCACTAGGTAAAATTTAGCTTATTCGTTCAATATGGTGAATCAAATCAAGCATAACCTAAGAAAAATAAATTGGCAAGATGTTTACTGAATTCTACGTTATCTTAAAATTGATGGGTCATCATAAAGAAGAAGCATTCACATTGGGTGAAACTCTCACCTAAAGGTTAAAGACTCAACAAACAAGTGAGAGACACCACATATTCACCAAAAACCTTAACTTGATAGGTGTATGGATCCTCTTACTTATAAATTGCTCAAGTTTCACTTTTGTAAGTAATGTGAGACTTAGAACTAACACTTGTTTCTCAATACAACTCACATTTGTCTCTCAACAATCTCTTCCTCAAGTGTGAGTCCATCCACTATACTCTCCCTCAAGCGGAAGCTCTTTCAGTCACATGCTTTTACCGCCGTTTAAAGACGCTATTATCTCGTCATGGGCACTTCAATGAGACACGTCACCTGACCACCATGTCAGGAATACTTTCGACACTAGGAGTTGGTCCTTACTCAAACCATCGACTTCGATACCACTTATGGGTCATCATGAGGGGGAGGAATTCACATTGAGTCAAACACTCACCTAAAGGTCAAAAACTCACTCAAACAAGTGAGAGAGACACCACATATTCACGCAAAACCTTAAGGTGATAGGTAGGAGTGTTCGCGGTTTGGTTTGGATCGGTTTTGAAGTAAAATATCATCTGATCCAAAGATAAATTTATTTGCGGATCGGTTCAGTTTTGGATGATTGATTTGAAAAATCCGATCCGATCCAATTTCTTGCGGTTTAATTTGGATCGATTTTTTGGATATCCAAATTACAAATTATAATTTTATTAATATTATAAAAACACTAATAAATGATCAATTTGATATAATATATAACATATATTATATTAAAAGTTAATATTACAAAATTATAATGATCGATTATGAATGAAACAGATGAAATAATAAAAATTAATAGATTAAATCAAACTAATAAATAGTATTTTATAAAAAAAGTATCATCTAATAATAAATTAACACAACTTAGTATACTAATAAAAAATAAATAAGTTTAAAAATATATATGTGTGGTTCGATTTAGTTTGGATTGGTTTTAAAAAATCATTCTAAAATCCGATTCGATCAATTTTTACAAAATGGCATCCAAACACATTCAATAATTTTTGGTTTTTTGGGATCAGTTTACGATTTTTATTTGGATCGATTTGGATTTGAACACCCCTAGTGATAGGTGTATAGGTCCTCTTATTTATAAAATGTCAAACCTTTACTTTTTTAATCAATGTGGAACTTATAACTCATATTTGTTTCTCAACACAACTCACTTGTTTCTCAACAAAAGTCATACTTAGAAGAGATCTCTTGTTCAAAAGAAGCAAAAATCTATTTCATAGTTAATATATATCTAACTATGAACGTATATATGAATGTAAGCGATCGAAGATCCTGTTACATAGAGAAGTAAGAAGCGGAGTGTAGTGGCTTGATTAAATGCTAAAGCAAAATTTAGAACTACAACATTAAAATTTTATTAATTATTGTGGATGAAACAGATATTAGACGATTTCATCAAAGAGAAGTTGAATAGTAAATTTGTAATTGATGAATATGTTAACAAAAAATTTATCAACTTGACAGTTAAACAAACTTATTTGCAAATTTGAAATTATTAGTATTCACTCATCAATCTGAAAGAATTGAGTTAATTTTATTTTTAGCTTATTTATTTTATCTTTAAGTAGTTTCTAGATTCTTTCTCTATTTAAATAAACTAAATATTGAAGTGTAACTCAACTCTGCGGTATATCATAAAATATTTTTCTACAACGTGAGTCTTCCATTCATCATTCAACATATTTGTTAAAATAAAAATGAAATTTCATGTTGAACTTCTTATTGATTGAGATTGATCCATATTTCATAAAACAAAATTAAATAATTGATTCATAATTAACAGATATGTTAACAAAGAATTTATCAACCGAATAGTTAAACAAACTTATTTGTAAATTTAAAAATATTAGTATTCATTCGCCAATTTAAGAGGAGTATTGTAAATGATATATAGAGTTAATTTTATTTTTAGCTTACTTATTTTATCTTTTAGTTTCTATATTCTTTGTCTATTTAATAAACTATATATTGAAGTGTAACTCAACTTTATGATATATCATAAAATATTTTTCTACAATGTGAATCTTCCCTTCATCATTCAACATATTTGTTAAAATAGAAAATGAAATTTCATGTTGAGCTTCTTTTTCTTTCACAATCAGAGAGGCTGGTTATAGATAGTTATACTTCCCAAAGCCTTGGCTTTCTCCCTTAGAATATACTTTTGTATTTTCCCTGTAGAAGTCTTTGGCATATCTTGAAAAATGATTGTTTTGGGAGCCATGTAATGAGGCAAACGTTCCCTGCAAAAGCCAATTATCTCTTGAGCATCTGCCTCAAATCCTTCTTTCAGCTTCAAAAAAGCACAAGGAGTTTGACCCCAATGATCATCCGGTCGGGCAACAACCGCGGCCTCATCAACAGCCGGATGACTATACAAAACGGTTTCTACCTCGACCGAGCTTATATTTTCTCCTCCAGAGACTATTATATCCTTCAATCTATCCTTAACTTCTATGTAACCATCAGAATGTTTCACAGCAAGATCCCCACTATGAAACCAGCCATCTTTGAAAGCTTCTTTTGTGGCTTTCAAATCTTTATAATATCCACTCATCACTGTATTCCCCTTAAACATTATCTCGCCAACTGTTTTTCCATCGCCCGGAACACTTTCCATAGTTTCAGAATCTTTGACATCAATTTCTTCCAACCCTGCATGAGGCACACCTTGTCTAGCTTTCATCTTCGATCTTTCTTCTGCAGGCAGCGTGTCCCACTCAGGTCTCCACGCGCAAAAACTCCCCGGGCCGTATGTTTCTGTCAAACCGTATAGATGAGAAACGCTAAAACCAATTTCTTCCATCTTAGAAAGGATCTGCGGAGGTGGAGGAGAACCTCCTGTCACCACTAAAACCTTGTGATTGAGGGGCTTTCTATGAGTTGACGCGGAATTCACAATCATGTTAAGCACTGTAGGTGCTCCTCCCATGTGTGTCACCTTATGCTGGATTATATTGTCAAATATGTCCTTTGGAGAAACTTTTCTTAAGCAAACATTTGTGCCTAATTGAGCTGCTACTCCCCAAGGGAGACACCAACCATTGCAATGGAACAATGGAACATTCCAAAGATAAACCGGAAATATGTTCATTTGAAAGAGTAGAACTGTTGCTAGAGAGTTTAGATAAGCACCTCTGTGACTGTAGACAACTCCTTTAGGCCTAGATGTGGTGCCTGAGGTGTAATTTATACTTATAGGATCCAATTCGCTTTTCGGTTTCACAATATTAAAACCAGTATGGCCAACATCCATTAGCTTCTCGTACTCGTAACTAGTTGATGTATTATCGACAGTAGACGAGCAATCAGAATCAGTAATTACGACTAGAGTAGGCAACTCCCTTCCTCTTTGGCGAAGCAAGTCGAATGCTCCCTGAGCCATTTCAAGTAGTTGGTAGTCTGCGAAAAGGATCTTTGCTTGCGAATGCTCTAATAGAACTGAAACCATAGTTGCGTCTAGGCGAGAATTAAGGGTACAAAGAATTGCTCCAGCCATTGGTACTGCAAAATGCAGCTCGTACATCGCAGGAACATTAGGTGCTAGTGTGGCAACCTGTTTACAAACACGACATTGAATAGCATCCAGAAAATTAAAGCCAATAACTAGAAAACTTGAGTTGATGGAAAGGATTCTCATATAAAGCTGAATCTGAGACAGTTACAGATAGAATCATACAGTGCTATAAATTAGCTATAGAAGTGAAATGAGTATACTCCACAAGATTGTTTCTTACATTTGTTTCCAATGTGTGTGAAAAGTGATTCATTCATAATGTGTGTGAATGTTCCAAATCTTAAAGAAAAAATGCATCAGCTCTGAAAAATTGTAAAAAAAGAACACAGCTCACCACATCTCCACGAGAAATTCCTAGTTGAGTAAGAGAAGAAGCGAGTTTGAGACAACGTTGATGAGTTTGTCCCCAGTTATAGGTCAAGGAACCATAGACAAGAGATGTTCGGTCTCTGCAAACCTTTGCTGCTCTCTCCAAGAAGTTGATAGGAGATAAAGGAACAGAATTTGCAGAGCAATGAAGGAGACCCTCTATTGATTCCCATGATCCACGATCAGGATCCTTATTAAAGTTAGAAATTTTACGTGAATAGATGTGGTGGGTTGATCGGAAATGGGTTAAAGAACGAGTCCAAAGCATGATTTTGAAGATGTTGTTCATGGTAAGCGGGTAAGTAACCATACACAGACAGATGATGATTCAATGTAAAACAATTTCAACTGAGATGGCCAATATTTATCAGATAACATTGAAGTGGGGTACAATGTATATGTCATGATTTTCTTTAGAAGTTAGTGTGAATAAGAAGCTTATTTATTATTTATCCCTTTAATTATATTTATTAGTTTCTTCCTAGAATAAGGGAAAAAAATAAAAAATTAATTTGTTCTTATCAAATGTAATTATTTCGGGTAATTACTTGTATAGTTATGTAATTTTAGGAAACAAATCAAAAATTGATTTGTTCTCATTAAATGTAATTATTTCGATAATTACTTATATAGCCCTATAACCAATATATAAAAGAATGAGAGAGAATCAAATCAATAAGAATTATTGACTGTTAGTAAATCAAATAAGATTCCTATTTTTAGAAACCAATGATAATATAAAGTATGAAGGAGTCGTGTAGATAAGGTCATTGACTTATTTAAACATAATGTCAGTTGACATTATTGTATTCTTGTAAGTACTAGTATTTTTTTTTTTTGGGCAAATCCATTCTAGTCTGGCTAATTGTAATGAGATTATTTCTCATATTAAAAGTTGATGAGATATTAAAAGTTGTTGGTAATAAGATATACTACAAGAACTTGAAAATTTGTGATATGACTTACTATATCGATTTAATAAAAGAAAATATATTATTAGATAATATTATTAGATAATATCTATTGAATCTCAAAGTATATAGATAACATGAAATTCAGATTAATTTTAATGAATAAAAAATTAACATCTCAGTAAATAAAACATTTTCAATTTTCATCCCTTATTCAAATATTAACATCTCAGTATTTTCAAGCTCCAACCAATTAAACAGCTGAAAAAACTCATACAAATACAAGTGTGAACTTCTCACTTTCTTATTTGTTCTTCAGAAAGAAAAAAAAATACATCATTTTCTGTGTTGCATAAACATTAATCAAATCATTAAATAGAAGTGGGAACCACTTATCACTCTCTTTGTTCTTCTGGTAAAAAAATAATACATCATTTTCTGTGTTGCATAAACATTATTCACGACAAAAATTGCTATTTCCAATTTGATGGATGCACAACAATGTTGATGGAATTAACTAGAAAAGATTATCCGAAGCTGACTTGCATTTGAGAAATCAGCAACTAAATGAATCAATCTAAGGCGTCTACTACTGCATCAACAACTTCTTGGGTGGTGCTTGTCCCCCCAAGATCTTTTGTCCGATACTTGCCCTCTAGAATGACTTTTTCAACAGCAGTTTCCAAACGGTCAGCAAATGCGGGAAACTGGAGATGCCTAAGCATCATAGCTGATGAGAGAAGAAGAGCCACTGGGTTGGCTGTTTTTTGGGCCGCTATTTTATCATTACCAACATTTCCTGCGGAAGCACCCTGCTCAAACACAGCATGATCAGCCCCAACATTACCTGCAAAAAAAAAAAAAAACGGTGGTTTGTGAATATTCAGGCCATTATTTGACGATAGAAAATCGTGTTTCTGAATAATAACTTCTACCCAAGACCAAACCACAACAACCAGCTCCAACCTACCATGAGTACTTCCACCTTTACCACCATCGTATTCATATAGCTACTAATACTACTTGCATTTAGAGATGGAAATATGTCAAGCCACCCAACCTATTAAGTAAATACTCAATATAATAAAATTGTATCAGATTTTGTACATTGTGTTAGATTATATGTTTGCAAACCTTTTTAATAAGGAAAATGCTAATTCTCCCGAAAATAAACCTAACCCATTGCCTATTAGCTTGTTAGTCTACTTAAAGATGGATTAGAAAACCTATTTAAAGACATTAGCACAAAATGGGTCTTTTGAGCAAGACAAAAAGGTCATACCATGTTTTCAAAAAGGCCATACCATTGTGTTAGATTTTATGTTTGCTGACTTTTTTAATTATTCATGCACATTCACAACCTTCCTAACTTTTGGCATATTTATTGCCTTACTGTTAAAATATAATTTAAAACTAAATAGGTTAGTTATATAAAAGTCGGCTTGTCCTATCTACTTATATAGGGGGTGTTTCACATGCAACGCCCTTGTTGGTGTGTGATTTTAGGTGTGTCCAAAAATGCATCTCCGAACACAGCGAGGCCATTTTCGGGTTTTCAGAGGTGTGAGTCGCACCCTTAAGGGTGGAAAGACTAACCCCCAACATATTTATGCAAAGTCTAACTCAGCCCAAGCTATTTCAACCCAGACCTCCATTTCATTAATATAACTACAGAAACATTCGTTTTCACTACAATTAATAAATGCATTATTGTAGAAGAATGTTCTAGCTTGACATATGTCTCATATCATCATATGATCATGCAGACGAATTTAATAAAGTTATGTTTGTTTGCAAAAAGTTTCAGTGCATAAAAATGTTAACCAGAACAAGTATCTAGACAAGCACAGAAACTCAATGCTTACTCTTTCAAGTTTTGAACATTATTCACACATCTCATAACATGGTAAAAATGAGCAAGGAAGTATTTAAAAGGAAACATAATCAGATCAAAGCTCTAAAGTTGCAATATGGTAGTAACATATAACAATACCTCCTGGCATAACTCCAGTGCCTCCAGCAATGCCTGCGGCAGTATTTGCAACAAGATTTCCATACAGATTTGGGGTAACCTACCACAAGGTAAAATTATCCATGAATTTCAAATTATGAAAACAAGAAAGTTGCAAAAACAAACTATCCCTGAATTTCAACTAAAAATCAGAAACAAATTATGAAGACGAGAAAGTTGCAAAAATAAAATCATCTGGCCTTGAAGTTAATGACCAACACCCTGCAATGATTCGTACTTGGACCAATAGAAAAGAGAGGCAAAATTTATTTGTCCCTTCAATATTCCACAAAGTACATCCGCATCCAACATCCTCCAATTGTGTATGGGTGGAAAATTAGCGGAGAAAGGACTGAAGGGTTGTTTTTTTAAGTTTAGAGGGATATATCATATAATGTTTTTAAATGAATAAGTGATGCTTAGAAAGTTATATGATGATCTCTTGATTCATTCATCTCCTCTTCAAAAAGTAAAAATGAAAATGAAAACTTCTCTCCCCTCCCTAGCCTCCAAAATTCTACGGAAAAACATACCCTAAAGGCTAAAGACTATTGCATAATTCTTTATCACAAATCTTAACTTTATCCATCTACACATGAACAAAGGAAACAAGTAAATGTTTTTCCAAGACATTTAAACCTTGTTGGTCCATGTCATAGAAAGGGTTTGAACCTCAACTTACGTGGTTTAGGCATGTGTGAGAATGCAAATGCCGTGGTATAGAGAGTAGATCAGATGGAGGCAGCTCAATCGCTCGAGGCAGAGAAAAGCTAAGAAATTATTAAGGCTTAGAAGTCAGTGGTTTTGCTATGGATGTGATTTATAATAGAATATCATGATGTCATTTGATCCATGTTAATTACCAGATGTGATCATAGTACCCGGGAAGGCAATGTATTTAGGAGATACTCTTTCTTTCCTTTTTGCAACATTGCCAACAATCCTACAGGAAGATAACCGAATCTGGAAATGTTTCAATCCCCGTCCATTTTGAAAATATATATATTTTTTGCCTTAAGTAATAAATAGAAAAGTGTTAACTAGAACACCAGCAACAATCAATTAAAAAATGGAAACACCAATGGACTCATAATATGAGTAGTTTCCTTTATCACCAATACTATAATAGAACAAAGCTAATACTTTACTTCATCATAGATTAAAGAAAAGTGGATAAATTTAACATACCATGACATCAAACTGCTCAGGCTTTGAAACAAGCTGCATGCAGCAATTGTCCACAATAATCTCGTTGTATTTAATTCCAGGATACTTGGTGGCAACCTCTCGACAGGATTCCAAGAACAAACCATCTGCAAGCTTCATTATATTTGCTTTGTGGACAGCAGTTACTTTCTTTCGGTTATTGAGGTAAGCATACTCGAATGCATACTTAGCAATACGCTCAGAACAGAACTTTGTAATCACCTACCAAAAATATCAAGTCAAACCACAAAACACCCAATGCTGCATCAGTACAACAACAAAAAAACTAGATAGATATTCTACGGGAAAATAAGAACCTATATATTTTGTGAGGATGTTTTCTACTTTCATTTATTATTTTCTCTACAAATTAAGTCCTGAAATAGTAGATTACATCCCAGTCAATAAAATAAGAGAAATTAAGAGAAAGTGCATTTAAAATTGGAAACTGATTCGTTTTAATCCAAACATTACCAACACTAAGCTAGTTTCTAAAATTGAATATTTATGAACCAAGGTTTTAAATTGAAGTTGTGCTACTATCCTTGATGTTAGCAGTGCTGTCAATGGCTGATGGCGGTACATGAGGAAAAACCAAAATCCCGCCACCGTACGCTTTGCGGCGCCGTTATAGCGGATTATGACTGAAAAACCAACAATATCGGACGATATTTACCATTGCAACGAGCTCAAAAACCGCCGTGTATATCCGCCATAGCGGCCATGGCGCCACTATTTTATAACACTGGATGTTAGATACTGGGTTTTGGGCCTAAGCCCAACCAAATATATTGATTAGAGAATTGGTTACGATTGCGGATTTGGCCAGTTTGTTTGAGGAGGAAACCTAGATATAGGAAGAAGACATGGCAAGGGGATGTTGCTCAGAGTTAATTTCAGTTAGAACCTGAGAGGTTTGGGAAGAGAGAGAAATGTCTTCTCCTTGATGAGCTTCCTTCTGTAATACATATATTCTCAATCAAAAATGCAGTTTATTCCCTTTAAACTTGGGTTCCTAAGATCCTACCACTTGACAATTTACATTAAATTACAATCAAAGACGAATGATGCAGCCTCAATCATGGTCACTTAAAATCATAAACATCAAAATTCGTGATGGTGTGGCCCATATAACAATAACAAACCTTCTTTAAAAAATCT